ACAGCATGGAACTCTTACGGAGAAGCATCCACAAACACATGATGGGTGCAAAGATGTAGCTTGTCAACTACGTTTAACAGAAAGTCAACGTCTTCCACAGCATGAAACTTTTAAGTAGAAGCATCTACAAACACATGATGGGTGCAAAAAATGTGGCTTGTCAACTAGGTTTAACAGAAAGTCAACGTCTTCCACAGCATGAAACTCTTGAGGAGAAGCATCCAGAAACACATGATGGGTGCAAAAATGTAGCTTGTCAACTACGTTTAACAGAAAGTCAACGTCTTCCACAGCATGAAACTTCATGAAACTTTAAGGAGAAGTACCGACAAACAGACATGACCTAAACAAAAACCTAGCTCGTCGAATATGTTAACAAGACGCATTGAGAAGTCCTACAAAAGCAGAGGTCGTCATGCTTTGGCCTAAGGTTCACTTGTAGATGCAACATGGGCATTCTCCACCTTTCCACCACCATCTTCTGCCTTGGCCTCAGCCCCTTCCATATCTGCATCATCTGGATTATGTGGCATACAGTAATTACAAGCAATGTCTGAGCAGCATAAACTCGCAGAATATCTCCCTCAAGGAACAAAGACATTCTCAATGCATGTCAATGATACAACAAGACTAACCTTCATCTGCATCATCAGGCTCATCGTCGGCGCCATTCATATCCAGTTTCTGTATATTGCAAAAAGAAAATCGAGTTTAACATACCAAGAGTATCAACTGATAGCTTTTTTGCCAATTTCAACCAAATGACATACCGAGAAATCCATGTCATCAAAGTCCATGCCTCCAACTGCACAGGGAAACATTTCAAACATCATATTGTGAGGCTCCAACAAGAATAACAATCTTTGCAAGCATATAACAAGATATAATATGTATGTTCTAAGTGATGCCAGAGTGTTTACATTTCTTTTCCTTCTCGTCGTCTTCATCTTCATCGATCCATTTGTCCCAATCAACTTTCAAATAGACCGGAGGCTTCCCTGCCGTCTTCAACAGCCGACTCCACCACTTCTTCTCGGCTTTTTTGACGAGGTAGCATATAGTCCTAAGCCCAACGGCAGCTTTACTCTCCTGCAGTTCTTCTCGTCAATCCAATCTTCAAATCAAAGTGTACTATAATACGGTCAAATAAATTATTCTGATACTTACATCAACATTAACCTTGTCAAACAACTCAAAATCGAGTTCATATGGAATGTTTTCTGCTCCACTGGTTGCAGAGAAGTAGAAACGACCATCCGGCTGTAATGTGAACTTCACATCCTTGGCATCTGGCAGTTCAATGATTATATACACCTTGTCAGATCTTTGGGCCCATTTTGTAGTCGGATGTCGGCTGCAAAATCAAGGGAAAAAAATCATCACTAGCTTGAGAAATTCTAGTTCAAGTTGAACATTTCTTGGACCAACATAAATCTAGTATACTGAATCACCAAAAATCTCCCCTCTCAGGCATCATCAACAGAACAATAGAATATGTGTTCCGAGGGAAAACATCCATCCCTTCTACCATGTGGTTTCTTCAACAGTGTCTGATTAAAAAGAATTACTTTTTGGTTTCACGAGCTGTACAACACATAAGGAATAATATCCATAAATCATTCTATATATAAAAAAAGGCTGATTCAGTTGAAATCCAAGAGGTTAAACACGCAGAAAAGCAACACCACATATAGAACATAGGTTAGATTTCATCCGCCTACATAACCATCCATTCACACACCCTTACAGAGACCTTCATTCGTATACACACTGCAATAAGCACAACTTAAATCAGTAGAATCAGAGTTCACACCCTCCAAATCATGTGTTCTGTCCTGATGCCAAGATTTTGAATTTGGCCAAGAAATGCTACCTCCTAATCCATCACGAAAAGTAACCAAACCCTAACTTTTAACGATTCTCGAATTGAGGAGTAGATTACCAAGAAATCGACTAAAAATCTCGAAGAGAATAAAGGGTTTTGATGCTTTACCTCATCTTGCAAGGGGGGAGAGAAGGAAGAGACGACCAAAAAGACAACTTTCGAATAAAAGGATTGCCGCACCGCTTGCTTTGGTGTAGCAAGCGAGCGCATATGCTTTTGGTATATAGGCCGAAGGGAGACAGAGCGCAGAGTCAGAGAGAGAGAGAGAGAGAGAGAGAGAGAGAGAGAGAGAGAGAACAGGAAAAAGATCCTTCCATACGAGTCTAGAGAGTTCGAACACGCGCGATCATCCCTTGATCACCGTCCCACCAAACGATCTCAACCGTTCATATGATGTGATCCTCCATGGGGCGGGCCTGATGGGCCCATAATGGACTGACCGTTGATCATGACATGATCCGGATTCGGATTTAACTTCCATGCCCGGCCCGGTTAAATTCCATCCGCTTGATCATCAACAAGTTGCTTAGAGATTATTGCCGTGGCGCGCATCCGACGGTCGCGGCCTGTTCCGTTCCGTTGGGGTACTCTTACGACAACGGCCGCGAAGCGAACGCTGGCTAATAAGTACGACAGCCGCTCTGAGCTTGCTACTGCACCACAAGAGAGGAACGGCGGAAGAGACAGCGAAGAGCAACCCGATCCGGTTCGGCATCTTGGGGCGCTGGAGATCGCCCGCAAGCTCGCCAGTGCCTTCGGGCTCGCCCTCTAGTCGCCGTCGGGAGCCGCTCCCTTGACAATGCCCGCCGATTCATCGCCCTCGGCTCCTATGAGGCCGTCCTGGACGACCCCTGCGTCGCCGTCTACGTGCCCCTCCCCACCAACGTCCACGTTCGGTGGGTCGTCGGCGCAGCCGAACGCGGCAAGCACCTGCTGCTCGAGAAGCCTACTGCCCTCTGCGCCTCAGACCTCGACCGGACGGTAATCTGCACTTAGTTATCATGAATTAGTGTCGCTTTTTCTTATTCATTCGAAAAAGGACTTCTTTTGGGTGATCTAGAATCGAATGTAAGAAGCTATCCCGATGCATCATGCTGATTGATTGGTAGGTATCGTATTCTTGGTTGACTATACAAACTGTTCCATTCTCTTTAATTTTGACTGCTTATTTTTTGCTAGAGAGAAGTTATCTTTGATCTCATACTCCACTTGAAGTTAATTGGATTGGATTAGGTTCTATTTAGAGGCGTTCTTCTGTTTTTTACTGTAAACAGAGGTCAATTTGGGCTTTGATTTAGTAGTGGGTTATGGACTTAGACTGATTGGTAGTGTTACTTTAGGCAATATTTAATGTAAATCCGAATGTGCTGCTTCAGCCATATATAAGAATTCTGTACTGCTTGAGAAGTTGAGATTAGACCAGTGAAGTGATAAAGTACGTTGACATGATTTAGAACAATAATGGAAACTTCAGGAACATTCGAAGAAAATCAACTGAAAGAAATCAAGAGATGCAATGATCCTGTTAAAGAATGTCCCCAGCTTCTAATGATGTGTATGAAGGGAGGTTTTGAATAATTTAAGTGCTGGAAATTTTTCAAAATTTCCTAATATAATGCACTAATCCTGTTTCTTCCTCATCTTTGCAGATCCAATTCATCAATAATTGATCACTGTAATGAATCTGAAAAAGGAGTAAAATTGCAACAATTGTAATCATTGACAAAACAACAAAATTTGTTACAGTAATGTCCAACAAAAATGAGAGACATCGTTGCTCATTGAATTGGAAATTTGTTTTAACAATCCTCGGGGCACTTGTTAAAGTTATCTTCTGATAGGTTATATAGATGATGGCATAAAAGGTTTACAATTACCTAACTTTTTCACAAAACAAAAAGGTCTTTCATAAGCATATAACAGTTATTTTATTGTTTTTTGCCATTTGCTTATTGATTTCAGCATGCGATTGTTGCTCATTCTGACAATGGTCTGCATTTTGTCTCTCATATAACCTGGAAAATTTTCCCTGTTAGGTTAATCTTAATAGGTAATCACCCACTGCACTAGGGTGGCTTTGGATTGAATGAAACTTTGTCCAAATCACAAATGACATGGTTTTATATAAAGAATCTAGATAGGAGGAGTTACATGGTAGAAGGCTGATGATTACACAGATCATTCTAATCAGAAGAATTTCTTCTTTGTTTGATTCAACAATATGTAGCCTTGCCATATTTCAGAGACTAGCATGTGTGCTACAAGTATGTGGAGTTCTTTGTTATCTTCTGTTGCGTTTTTATTCAATATGAGTTTAAAGATTTCATTATTTTACTTTGAAAGGAAATATTGATCAAGTTTCCTTAACTTCTTCATTTTCCTTCCCTTTCACATCTCCTATCTAAGCTTTTACGAGGTAATGTCATTGATCCATTTATCCTCTTCCTCTATCAATAGAGTCCACCTTGTCTGTTTTTATAATCTCTACTTATAAATCAATCAAAGATAACTAGAGATCAAGGAGCTTCCTTGTTTCTGTCACATGAGCATTTCATTTACTTATAAAATCAGAGATGACTAAAGATCAAAGTAATATGATATTTTGATGGTATTGTGGATTAAGAAGTGTGGCTAGGAAGGTATTATGGAGAAAGCTAGTGGATGGTCACAATGGTATTTAAGTCAACCACTATATTCAGAGTGAAAGGTAGGTCTAGCAAAGGTTGTATTTGGTTGGGGTTTCAGCATTGTAAAAGTGAGATGAATTGGAAATGATTCAGGATAGAGATGAAGTCATTTGGGTTTACAGAATCATAACAGGGGATGGACAATCCTTGTGTGGGGGCAAATAGCTGTTGGAGGTGGTGTTTATAGAAGAAGCATAGGAAAAGAAAAGGAAAAACAAACAGAAAAAATTAGAGAAAAGAAGCAATCCAAAGTCCCTCCCATGAGGTTTATTTGAGTTGTACACAAGAAAGGAATCATTAAAGCTTGCACTAGTAAGGAATGATTTCTTCTTGTTTGATTAATGAGTCATATGATAAACTATAATACAAGAATTCAAGTATAAGGAAATAAATTATTGTGATCATACTTACACCTATGATTGTGGAAGAAATCAAGGGAACAACTTGATCTAAGACAAGCTGTGATGGCATGGAGTAGGAGATGATCTTGTCTCTACCAAAGTTTCCATTTTGGGAGTTCCTCCTTGGTTTTTATCATTTCAGAAGGACACTGGCTTGTTCCATCAATGAAGCCCGTAAGATCATAACCATATAACAAGTTGATAACTTGAGATATTCAAGAGGCATAGTTGAGTTTGGTGAGTTTCAATGGTAGTTGTGATGCAGGGTTAATGGATTTCAAGGTAATGGTTTGAGATAGAGTGATGTTGGGGTTTGTCATGATTGTTGTGGAATTTTTGTCTAGATCGATTTGATAAGCCATGAAGATAGGATTGTGGAGATGTGTTTCAAAACAACCAAATAAAAAAAGGAGATTTTGGAACACCTTGTAAGGCACAAGCTTTTGATATTAGTATGCTGGAGACTCTGATTTCCTTGAGAATGACATATGTGTGATGCCCGAGCTAGATGCTCTCGGGCCTCTTGGTGATGTTGGGTGGTACTGCAGCTGCTCCATCCTGTGGGTTGCTGACTATGAACTGCCCAAGAAAGCAGTTGCAATCCATGGTGCAGTCAAGACCGAAGCCGGCGTGATCCTGTCATGCGGATCCTCCCTTCTCTGGGAAGACAGCAAGGTTGCAACCTTCCGGTGCTCATTCCTAACTCATCTGACAATGAGAGTATCCCTTCAGCTCAGTGACTTCGTGATCCCCCTCGAGGAGGAGAAAGTTCCATTCTCATTTGCTTCAGGCTCAGCCTTCAATGAGTTGGTGACGGGATGGCAGTCACTGCCCACCAAGCATATCGTCCCGACTGATCTATCACAGGAGTCTCTCATGGTGCAGGAGCTCTCGAGGTCGGCAGGAAGCATCAGAGATTCTGCTGGGAAGCCAGATGACCAATGGCCAGCCATCACTAGGAACAGACAGCTGGTGCTGAATGCAGTGAAAGCATCGATTGATCAGGGATGTGTGCGAGTGGAGATTGTATAGATGCTCAGCTACCTCGTAGTAATGTGTTTTGCCTCCTTATTCCTCTTGTAATGCAGATCAAAGTCTCCAAACTTTGTGGAACTTACTGAAAAGCTATTTACTGTTGGTGATGATTTGTGGAAGACCCTTTTTGATGCTTGATTCAGTCTCAAGGGATGTTTATGGTTGACTAAAGCATGCTACTTTGTGGATATATTTGAAGGGGAAAAAGAGTTTCTTGGTAACATTTTTCAATATATATTATATTAATTTAGAGTTTCAATCTTATTTTATTGATTCTCAACAAATAGAGATTGACCACAATAATATATCGACAAGAGTTTATATATATAATGATTTTTGTGAAAAAAATTTTAATTTTGGTTTTTGTTTTCTAAAAGGTGCTGTGAATTTTTAATATTTCCATTTGATATCTTTTTTTTCTAATATCCCAAATACCTTTTATCATCGTTACCTCCTCTTCTAGATGAATATTATCAATCATTGTTTTTCTTGTTGTGACGATTTTCGTCCTCCTTGACCTTCACTCCTCTCCATCCTCACTCCTTCCATTCACTTTATTCTTTTATCTGTTGACACATTTCTTTCATCATCCTCCTTAGTTAATGATTTTTTTTTCTTTTGCCTCCATCTCTTTCGTCATCTTTCATCACTCATAATATTACATTCCGAAAGAAAAGTGTGGAGCCTCAAGAGAAAGAGAAAGCATTCACGGAGGAACAAGGTCGAGTTGCATGATAAAAGCGTGATAAGTGATCATGGTGGAATGAAAGCGACCATAGTGGGGTGGAGGTGATGACCGTCGATGCCCATTAGGAGGAGGAGGAGGTGGACGTGACGAGGGATATTTAAGGTATATGAAAATTAAAAACAGAGATACCTTCCCGAAAAATAAAAAAAAGAAAGAATTATTCATAAAAATTATCTATATACATATTGCGGGGATTGGCGGTCGGAAGCCAAGCGGTGGCTCCCACAACGCCGTTTGACCTACCCGCCCGCTATGCCCGTTCGGTCATCCACCACCACTCTACGACTCGAGGTTTGACTCCCCAGGGCGTGCTCCTTTGACCAAATCATCGGCTCCCCTGTCTCGTCAGAGTCGGCAAACAGGAACATGCCCCAACCACGAGCAAGAAAGGACCACTTTGTCCGTCTCGAACCACTCATCGCGAAGGAAAGCCACCGTGTTTTCTATTTCTCCCAATGCAGGAAATCCCACTATGCACACTCACGCCTGTTCTCAGAAAGCTCCAAAGCATATAATGGAAAGACAAAATTCACGGACACCCCTTTAACTTTAAGTTCTTATAAATAGACCCCTCACTCCTCGATTTACCTTTCCTTTCCTCATTTAATTTTGGGAAAATTAATTCAGTATTGAGACCTAATCAAAGAAAAATGCTTCTTTCACCTAATCGATAATTTCTCTTTCTCCTTTATCCTCATTTTTCTTTCAATTTCTCTCAATTTTCTTCTCCATATTCTATTTGAGGGACCATTTCAAAAAATGAGCAAATGACAGGGGTGTTGATGCATTTTTCCCTTAAAACATTTGCTCGACAGCGAGTGCAAAAGCAACGCACCGCAGGAGATCCCGATAGCCCTCGCATCGATCCCCTCCTCTGCGTCTTCGGATCCCCAATTCGATCGTCTTCTCCGCACTCGTCCGCCGATGAGGGTTCTCCTGTCTGTCTTCTTGCGAGAAATGATGGGGGATCCCGGATTCTTGGGCGGTCCTGGTCTTTAGGGTTCTTTCGACGGAGCGGAATGGGTCTCGAGGGTTGGTTGCTGCAAAGCCGCGGATCTTTTGCCCGGGGAATGGCGGTGGTGGTGATGCGTGGGTTCCTTTGGTTCGTCGTGGTGCTGAATCCCCTCGTTAGGGTTCTTGCCAACATGGAAGGTAAGGAGCGCTCTCGCTCTTTCCTCTGGTTATAATGCTGGTGTCGGGCGGTCGGGGACCGGGGGCTTTTCGAAATCTGACGGTTGTCGTGCTGCGCGAGATCGTAGTTGATTGATTTGGGTCTGGGAGCTAGAAAAGGCCGTCGTTAGTTCGTCTTTTCCGCTAGATGCTTCACTATTGTGGCATGATCTGCTGGATATGGAAAGGAGCATGACATAATTGGTTGGATAGCCAATTTGGAAGCCTTTTTGTCCATGTGGGTTCTCTATTTTCTTGGTTTATGATTTGGCGGAGTAAGTTCAATGGTTTCTGCAGTTGCAACTGATTGATACTCATCTTGTTTTAAATTGGCCAGTCTCTCACCGTCCAAACAAAACAAGTTTGATAGACGTCGGGTAGTGGTTCTTAGAGGAAGTTTCTTTCTTGATAGCGATCTTCATGATTTCTCTGTGGAAAGTGATGGTGAATTCTTGTGTTAGTCTTGTTGAGAGTAGCATATCTGGTAGATGCTTTACTCCTGTAGCATGGTCTGCTGGATTTAGATAGGACTAGTGGTAGAGTTGCTTCCAGACTTGTCAGGTCTTTGTCCGTTTGGATGCGTTCCTTTTTCTTGGTTTTAAATTGGTGGAATTAATTGACACTATTGGTGTCTGGTCCTGTCTTTTATTTGATTATGGGATCAATTACCAGTCAAGTCAATGGAATAAGTTTGAAAGGAGATGGATGGTTGTTTTGAGGGGAAGCTTCATGGTGGTTTTGAAAGATGATGGTGATATTTTGGAAAATGAAAGAGATTGATGGTTGTTTTGAGGGGAAGCTTCTTTCTTCGTAGTATTTGGGAAAGTAATGGTGATATTTGTGTCGATCAGGATCAAACAATGGTGGTTCTTTGTCAAGTTATGACCATTTTCTGTCTTTTAGAAACAGAGAAATTGTGATGTACATTCAATTGATTTTACGTGGGGTATACTTATTTTCTTAGCCTATTAGACCAACTGGCTTGAGGTCACAGTTGGACTGATTGAGATGCACCAAGATTCTATTGGACGAAGACATCAGTGAAACATAACTAGTTGTATCCCATGGTTGATGATCATTCTCTTGCAGTCATTAATGGAGCCAATTTTCACAAACTCTTCAACCAGAGTAGATTTGATATATGCAGTGATTTAAAAAGCGCTAGGTGCCAAAAGGCGCTAAGGTCCAAAAACGCCCGAGGCGCTAGGCGTTTGCCCGAGCGAAACGAGACGCTAAAATATAAAAATATATAATATAATTAATAAATATAATGATTTAAAATTTTAAATAAAAATATGCTATTAAATTAAGAAAATCTAAGATACAAATCATAATATCAAAATTAATAATTTCAAATAAACCTAACAATATTAATAATATACAGAAGGAGAAGAAGGAATAGTGTAAGGGAGTGCTGACTGAGAAACGAGGAAGCGACAGTAGCAACGGGAGCGGGAATGTAAGGACGTAGCGACAGCGGAAGCGGGAGTGTAAGGAGGCAGCGAGAGTGGCGAGCGGCGACAGCAGCAGCGGCGAGTAGCGACAGTGGCAGCGGCAACAGTTGCAAGCAGTGACAGCGGCGAGCAACGGGAGCGGGAGCAGCAACGAGCAGGGTTAGGGTTGGGCAGCAACAACTGATATCGGTTTTAGTTGGTTCGATTGAACCAACTAACCATCGAAGACCGAACCAGACCTAAAATCCTGGTTCGGTCGCCTGGTTTAACTCAGGCGCTCGCCCGAAGCGCCCAACGCCTGGGCTCGGGCGAGCGCCCAGGCAACGCCTCTTTGAAGCGCGTCGCTTGGAAGTTTAGCGAGGCGCTCGGGCCTCGCCTCGCCTCGCCCGAGCGCCTAGGTGAGCGCCCGAGCACCTTTTTAAATCACTGGATATATGTGGAAAGTTGCGGTAAATAATCTCCATTTGCAATAATGACGTGAATCTTATATATGATGCGGTCATCCTTTGACAGAAGGTCCAGAAAACTCAGATATTATGTTTGTTTTAGAACATGTTGGCCATATTCTATTAGTGCTCCTATATTTAGACCATGCATAATTAATTTTTCATCTCTATTAGTATGATATTAGCTTAACCATGCAATATCATTTTGTGACAACATTTTCCTGCTTGATATCTGACCCATGTTGACTTGTTGAGATTTGCACTAAGTTCTTGCCTTGTTAGAATACAAGCAGTAACTTTTCTGCAACCTTCTTTCTGTAACAGGTTCATTAACACCTGTAATTCTTGAAATGGCTATCGTTTTGATCTAATTGTTCTGTTCTGACATTCTCCAATCTGGTGCCAACAGGTGATGCTTTGCACAATCTTAAGACGAACTTAAATGATCCTAATAATGTGCTACAGAGCTGGGATCCAACTTTGGTCAATCCATGTACATGGTTCCATGTTACATGTAATAATGACAATAGTGTGATTAGAGTGTAAGTGGATCCATCTCTTTGTGCTTTACATTTGTCATTGTGGGACTCTATGAACAGCCCATGTTGTATTCTTTCAGTGATCTTGGAAATGCTCAGCTTTCTGGTACTCTGGTCCCCCAGCTTGGTCAATTGAAAAATCTGCAATATCTGTAAGTTCTGAATCAACTGTTCTTGATTTTCTAAGTTCTTGACTGTAATTTTGCATTTTTACAGTTGAAGATGTAAAAAATCTTAAGGTTATTTTTTGATTTTAAGATTTTTACTATCATAAAATGTCTGTGGAACATTTATTCCTTTATACCCCAGTTGTAGACGTCACAACTTTTCTTTTGTTTGATTTTCAAAGTCATCTCCTAAATCATTAGCATTTCCTGACGGAAGTTTTTTCGCTGTCCTATAATCATGGACTTGCAGTTCTCACATATTCATGTTGCATGTTCTAAACCCTGATTAAGTTCTATTAAAAGCCTTGTGCCATGCTTATGTTGTGACCAACATAAGTTCATTGACAAGCAATGTACATCATGATCTTTCTCCACTTCTTCTATCTTTCTCTCGTAAACAAAGATCTGCTAGAGAGCAGAGCAATCTCCAATATAAAGAGACTTAATATAAAATTTTGTGAAGTTTTCTATCTAGCTGTACCTTGATGTTAATCCAGTAAAGCTGGTGCATAGTTCCTTGTTTCGTGGATCCTTAGCAAAGAGTGAGCAGGATTTGTTGGAAAAACATTAATGGTTGGTTGGCAGCTAGTAAATAGTTCAATTTTAGCTCATGAAGTTGGTGAAAATTAGGAAGGTTCAGAGAAGGAAAAACAAGTCTAGGTTGAATTATTATCTCAATGGCTGATAAGTAAAGTCACATGCTTAAGAGCAATCAGTTTTAATTATCTCATAGATATCCGTTGTGTTTTCAGCTGTTTCTATATCTTCTGGAACATAGTTCTTTCCTAAGAAACAATGATGTCTCTCATCTTATCAGTCCTACTTTTCCATGTATCTAGTGTCTGTATCTTGTATAAGTATGATCACCTTGTAGGACAATGAATAGCATGATTATATTCTTCATTTGATGATGTTAACCAGTGCAGTGTCTGCCCATTTTCTCATTTGGTTAATTTTTTTTAAATGGAAGAAATTTTCATTACATCAAATGGCATACTTCCTAATATATTACTTGTGCAACAATGCACTTGTGCAACAAAGACTCACTTGGTTAATTTACTACTCCTGGTGTACTATCTAATCTACAAATCGTTAGTAGGATGCAACTTCCTATGACTTGTGCAATTGATCAAACCTTTGTATTTTGAAAATGAGCATACTTCTCAGTTGTGGCAACATGCTTAGCTTCCATAATCCAACAGTTATTCCTGTTGTTTGATGTGTGGCACTTTCCCCATGCCAGTTGCCATTGAGATTCATTAAATTTTCCTGACATGTCATCAAACATCCATAGCTAGGAACTTTTAGATCTCCAATAAATAGGGTTGATACCAGAACCACCTCAATGTTACTGCCAACATCAGCAATGCATTCATAGTCAGTTTTCTTATCATGGCTTATAGTCAAGATGCTGCAAAATTTTGAACGAAAAACATGAACTCAATAATTTTGTACTGTTTGTTTTCTTTTAGGAGAATAATTTTGTCGATCTCATTGATCCCACTTGGAAATTTAAGTTTCATCTAGCAAAATCTCTATATTGATACCTGGTTGAACAGACCTGTCTTGTTCTGCCCCTTTTCTCAAGATGAAATTGGTTGTACTAGTACACATATAATCAATGTCCTTCAGGAGCACATGCACAATTGGTTCCATCACCATTTATATAGTTTTATATTGACATGTTTCTTTTTTTATTGCCCCATTACGAAGTAAAGTGATATCTGATACATTGTGGACAAAGTACACTAAGTCTCAACTTGGGGTACTTATTCATAATACTTTGCACAAAATCTTGGTTTTCATTATCTATATACTGGTTTGTTGGGAATGAGTTCCATTTCTAAACATATATGTGGATTCTTATGTTGTATTTGAGGAATGTTTGAACTATGAATATTGGAGCGATATTAGTTATGGTGAACAGTGATTTCAGGTTCATCTACTTGTGTAATTGATGATTATATTAATTGTTAACCTTTACTTCCTATGACAGGGAACTTTATAGTAACAACATCAGTGGCACCATACCTAGTGACCTTGGAAACCTGACGAATTTGGTCAGCTTGGATCTATACCTAAACAGCTTCACTGGAAAAATTCCTGATTCATTAGGGAAGCTAACGAAGCTGCGTTTCCTGTATGATTTGTCTTTCCCAGTATAAAGCTCTGCTTGATTCATGAACTTTGTTTATTTGGTTTTTTACATTCTTTGAAAAAAAGCAATACTTCTTGCTTAGCTTATTTGTCCTGCTAAGATTATCTCTAGTTTTGCATGTTGGATTTGCGGTTGTCTGTTTTGTCCGATACTGAAACAAGAAGTCTTCTAAAATTTTAAGGGTGCCATATGTTCATAAAAGTGGCATGGTTTGTGTTGAATACTATCTTACTCATAGCTATTGACGTTGAACACTAGGATTTATGAAATTATGCTGCTTGTTTTCACTGGCATGGTAATTCCAGTGATCCAAACTGTGTGGGTAAATCACACACGGGAACTGCTGGCACAATGGATGAGGTTGGGCATGCTTGGGTCCATCTCACTATATGCAATATCTTCTTCAATCTCTGCCACTCTGTTGAGTAATAAATTTAAGATGGTGAAGTATTTAACTAGTTATAAGAATCTCATGCATTGCTCGTCATGCATCCTTTCATTTAGCTGAGCTTTCAAGTTGATGCATCATAACTTTAATAATCGATGCAGTGAATATTTGATGCTGAATTCAGCCTTTTTCATCATGGTTAGTTTATTGGAAAAATTTCTCTTTTACAAGTTACTTTTCTTATTTTTGAAATTTCTGTTGAAGGGCAGCCGGCTCAACAATAATAGTCTGTCAGGTCCTATTCCCAAGTCTTTAACTAATATTACAGCCCTCCAAGTACTGTAAGTTGGCTTGATCCTTGCCTATGATATACTGCACCTTTCTAAAATAATTCTGGTTCTGCTATCTAATGGTGACTTTGTTTTGTCAAAAAATATGCAGGGATTTGTCTAATAACAACCTTTCGGGTGAAGTTCCATCAACTGGTTCCTTCTCACTATTCACTCCAATCAGGTGCTTTCTAATTTTGATGCAATTGTAAACATCTCTGGCTTATTAACCGTTGTATTTGTTGCCAATTATATGCAATAATATGCAGTTTTGCGAACAACCCTCTTCTATGTGGCCCGGGTACAACAAAAGCTTGTCCTGGTGCTCCTCCCTTATCTCCACCACCGCCATTTGTTCCTCCAACACCACCGTCATCCCAAGGTAGGTAATTATGCCTGTTGTTTGTGCTCACTGGAACTCAATTTAGTTTTTTATTTCCTATTGACCTTTGATGTATTACTTTGTCTTGCCCTTGATTCTCATGCTTCACTAAATAGCTTCCAGTTAATTTTAATTTCCCTTCCCTCTCTTTTTTTCTTCTCCATCCATCTAAAAAAGGATTTGCTGGAAATTTTCTTATCTCAATCATTCATATAATCTTCAAGATGGAGTATATATGATTGAGCTCACTACTAAAAAGAGCTACTTGGTAACATGTTGCCATTATGTTGCTTGGAAGCACACAAGTTTGATCTTATGCTACTTAATTAAAAATATAATTTACTTGTGTGGAGATGAATGTTATTGAGGCCACCTATTTGTCTGGATGAAACACTGGTAGCATCGACAAGCTACTACTTGGGAAGACATTCTTTTCATATTATGCACTCTTAGATGCTGTATTTCATAGGTGTTTGATATCGAGTAGGTTATATAGGTTAAGAACTTGCTCGTGGATGAAATCTAAAGGTTGTTAAAATTTAAATGACACTCAACAGGAAGTAGTGCCTCGAGCACTGGAGCAATTGCTGGGGGGGTTGCTGCAGGTGCTGCTTTGCTTTTTGCTGCCCCTGCTATAGTTTTTGCATGGTGGCGTCGTCGTAAGCCACAAGAACATTTCTTTGATGTACCTGGTTGGTGTCTAAGAACCTGATTTGTTCTGTGTTAATACCGTTACGGTGCTTAATGTGCCAGATATTGTGTGCAGCTGAGGAGGACCCAGAAGTACATTTGGGCCAGCTTAAAAGATTTTCTCTGCGAGAATTACAAGTAGCAACTGATAACTTTAGCAACAAGAACATTCTGGGAAGAGGAGGATTTGGAAAAGTCTATAAAGGGCGACTTGCAGATGGCTCGCTTGTAGCAGTAAAAAGGCTAAAAGAAGAACGCACTCCAGGCGGGGAGCTTCAGTTTCAAACTGAAGTAGAGATGATCAGCATGGCTGTGCATCGGAACTTACTTAGGCTTCGTGGATTTTGTATGACACCTACTGAACGATTGCTTGTGTATCCTTATATGGCTAATGGAAGTGTTGCATCACGACTAAGAGGTATTTGTTATTCTTTTATGGCTTACCCCTTATTGCTTTTGAGCCTTAGCTGTCACTCATAATCCTAAAATTGGTTCAAGGAAACCTTGTCATGGTCACTTGACAACTACATTTTTACAATATTTTAAGGAGATGTTTTATGCTTATTTGTAGAGCGCCCACCATCTGAGCCACCACTCGAGTGGACAACACGTCGAAAGATTGCATTGGGTTCTGCAAGAGGGCTGTCATACTTGCACGATCATTGTGATCCTAAAATTATACATCGTGATGTTAAAGCTGCAAATATATTGTTGGATGAGGACTTTGAGGCTGTTGTCGGAGATTTTGGCTTGGCTAAACTAATGGACTACAAAGATACTCATGTAACAACTGCAGTCCGTGGAACAATAGGACATATAGCTCCAGAGTACCTGTCAACTGGAAAATCCTCGGAGAAGACTGATGTTTTTGGCTTTGGAATCATGCTTTTGGAACTGATTACAGGGCAAAGGGCATTTGATCTTGCCCGGCTTGCAAATGATGATGATGTTATGCTGCTTGACTGGGTAAGCATCAAATAATGTTTGCATGATTATCTATGATGTATACTTATGTTTATGCTGAATTTTAAGGTATTTTCATCAGATATTAGTCTGCTAGTATCGTGGATTGGACCAGGTTTACGGCATTTATTTTCTTATGTTTTTGTTTGCTTGAAATATAGACTTGGTTTTGCATCTAGCCTCTAGCAATTGATTCTCAAGAAGGTTAGAAGTATAGAGAAGGGTACTGGTCCATAGTCCTTGATGTTTTGAGTCCATGTGTTGGTCATTAGAAGAGATACTGAATCCTTTCCCCTTGTGTCAATCAAAAGTATGCCAATAACTGTCTTTGGTGGAAATTTATGCATATCCTAGGCCAGTTTTATGTTCATTTGTGCCATGAAGTTATGCATTCTGAATTGTTATTTTTTCTCGATTCACATTGGGAATGCATACACAAGTCATCAACTATATAACGACAACCTGTGTGAAACTAAAATGGAAGTAATGCTTCTTATATACAACCTTCGTCGTATAGTATTGCTTCATGTAAGGCATTAAGTGCATCTAGTATAGGCTTGTTATTGGAGGAATTAAACCAGCTTCCATGTGTCTCTTTCAGGTGAAAGGACTGCTCAAAGAGAAGAAGCTGGAAATGTTGGTTGATCCAGAACTGCAGAGTGACTATGTTGAGGCTGAAGTGGAGTCTCTCATCCAAGTGGCATTGCTATGTACTCAGGGCTCCCCGATGGACCGACCAAAAATGTCAGAGGTGGTGAGGATGCTGGAAGGGGATGGTCTTGCCGAGAGATGGGAGGAATGGCAAAAGGTTGAAGTGGTAAGACAAGAGGAGATGGTCCCACGTCATCAAACCAATGAATGGATTTTGGACTCAACCGACAACCTTCATGCCGTCGAGTTATCTGGGCCGCGATGATCACAAGAAAAAAATGCTGAAGAACATCATCTAAGGTCCCTTTCTCTCTATGCATTTCATTCCTGTGGCTATGGGGAATTACAATTGTGTATATTTCTTTGTGTCTGTTGTATCATTGTGTTATCTGTTCATGTGTAGCTTTCTTTTAGCAAGACCATGTTACAATTCCCTTCTTGCAAGTGGCAAATTTGGAGCCTCTGCTGGAAGGCATGCTTGACATGAAACTAACATAAGCTTTTGTTTGCAAAATAGAGAATTCTAGTCGATCTTTTCTTGTTTCTTAGACATTTCAGCCTCAAGATCTTTTCCCAAAGACTACAGTCCAAGACACTGAAGTATCATGAACTGTGCCCGCTTTGTGTTTGCGTAAAGATTCAAGAAAGTAGCTGTTCATTCGTGAAACATACAGCTTACGTTATCGATGATTGATAGTGAACTCTTACATGGACTGCAGATGCTGTAGGTTTATTTCTTCCCTCTCACCATATATATTTTTTCGTTTTGAGTTTTATGCTGCAAAATATGTTGTGACGAGGACTGATTTTTATCGTCTGATGAGTGATTTAGATCGTCCGATCAGGTGGATGATTGGAATCCATCCGATCCGTCGTTACGACCATCGAGTTGGATGGCATCCTCTTCTCGAGCCAGCGACCGCGACTCGTAGCTCAAGTCGAGCACCGAGTCGTGGGTCGCAGGCATTTCGGGGAGCGGAAAAAGGGTGAAAGGAAGAGTGAAAGAACCCCACCAACTCGCTCGTCGTCGCGATCCTGCGCCCCGCCCTCCCCCTCGAGAAAAGAAGAGAGAGGAGGAGAAAGTTTTCTTTCCTCTTCTTCGTTGGGGTTTCCTCGATCTATGGGTTCCTCCTTTCCTACTCCTCCTCCTCCTCCTCCTCCTCTTCCTCCTTGAATCGAGTACTCTCGTCTCGCTCGCGCTCAATATCTATACCTATCTATACACATAAGCCATGGCGGATCCCGGGGACTCTTCCCCGCTTGTAGCGCCCGTCCCCGTCCCTGACCCCAACGACATCGACCTCGAAGCCGGCCCCGGCGAGCAATTCCAGTGCCGGATCTGCCTCGAAACCGACGGTTCGCTTCCCTTTCCTTAGGGTTTATTCTCTTTTCTTTTATATGTTTCCTTGCGATCCAGGTCGATTCTTGGTTCCCTCTCATGGAACTTGCGGATAAATTGTGGGGATTGCCTCTCCGATCATGGGATCTCTCGAGGGAGAAGTAGAGCAAAAGAGAGACTTTTGGATCGTTGACTGCGATCCTGTAATTCTCTTGCAGATTATTTGAGCTGACTGCAATCTTCCTTTTTCGTTGCAGGAAGGGATTTCATAGCGCCTTGCAAGTGCAAGGGGACTTCCAAATACGTCCATCGTGAATGCTTGGACCATTGGCGGGCTGTGAAGGTTAGTGTTTGCTGTTTAAGGCTGCCGATGTTTTGGTTAGGTTGTTCTGCTTTTTGTGATGAGTTTACACATCCTTAAGAAATATGTGGAACATCCTTGCGGTGAATTGTTATGTAAGGAGATAGCGAAACTAATCATGTATTTTCCTAATTTTTGTTGTTCTGGATGCAAATATCAAATGTGATAGTGATGGGCATAGGGGTGGAGCTACACCTTCTTTTCTGAAAGGAACTTGAAAACAAAAGGTAAGAGATGATGAAATGGGTCCAAACAAATATATGTTTATACCCACCCCAGCTGGATGGATGTGTAATGAAATTGTTTACAGCAAGCCTGAAATTAGAATAATGGAGGAATTTAGGAAACCTCCTGCCAGATTGTTTTGAAATTAGAATAATGTAGGAATTTCAGGAAATTTATTGCTTAGTTGTCTGTTATGCAGAACTGACTCAGGTTATCTGGGTGTGCACATCATTGTTCAGAGGAAGTAATCCAAGCATGCCTGAGAATTAGGAAAGGGAAACTCTTGTCTCTTTGTGGAACATGCTAAGAGGAAATCTGGAGTTGACTATTTGAGTGTTGTTAACAGGGATGTTTCAAGTGTACAACCTGAATTGTGGATAAAGATTTGTTGGTTATCTTAATGATTATCCCTACTCTGTGATCGTTTGTGTTATAACACATCTAATAATCAAAACCTTTGTTTATGCTTTTGTGCATTTCTTCTCATTGTTCGTCATTCAGAGGAATGTGGATTGAAGTAACAGACTTTTATAAAATTTGATGCTTGCTATGTGAGCATCACCCTGCAGCCTGTTGGTGGATTGTTGGCCATTTGTAGATTTAGTGATGATTATGCTCATGAGAAAGGATGACCTGAGTGCATCTGGAGTTGGAGAAAGCAATTCTTGTTTTTCCAAGCTGGTTTCTCTTGATATAGTAACTAGCCAATTGTAATTGTATTACTGGAATCTAAGTGGCTTTTTGGCCTTGGATATGGAAACCTTGTGCTTGGTCTAGTTGTGTGGAAATAGTCAAACATGGTGGAAAGGGAGATGGATGGGGAGAATCAACTTTGTAGCACTTGGAGAAGTAACCACTTGAATGATTAACAATTGAAAGAAGATGCTTGCTAATGTTGTAATCTAAAATGGGAAAAGAAAGTTCACGTTGATTTTAAAGGAGGTATGGGAACAAATTAAGTTAGAGTTTAGAGGAAAGATCAAACTGCCAAGTTTGCCCAATACGGAAATACAGAGTTTGTTGGATCGAAGGCTGATGATATACTTTTGGCAAATGCTCCACCTAAATCCTGTCATTGTTGTTTTTATTCCATTTTATGTTTAGCACAAATTTGTGAGATTATCTGCAATTCGAAGGTTGCTAACTTTGACAATTTTTCATTTTTCTTCAGGAAGGTTTTGCATTTGCTCATTGCACAACCTGTAAGGCTCCTTACTATTTGAGGGTGCATGTTCATGCAGACAGGAAATGGAGAATTTTGAAGTTCCGGTTCTTTGTTACTAGGGATATACTGTTTATTTTTGCAGTTGTTCAACTTGTAAGCTTAAGTTTTATTATCACTTGATAAGTTTTGAAATATTAATGCATTTATTTTGTACCAATTATTTATTGTGTGTGCATCTGGAACAGATAATATCTTCATTGGCATATCTGGTCTATTTGGTTGATAGCTCTCACAACTATTGGTTGCGATTGGCTTGGGGTTTTGATGGTGAATTTAGTTTCTATTATATATGTGGTACACTTCTAAACTGTCAGAGCACTTCCTGATGCTTTTGTCTGTTCACCAAGTCATAAAGTTGTTTTCTCTATTCTTGTTGATATTATAATACAAAACACACACGTTCTTTTTCTTTTCAAAATAACAAATTAACAATTATGAGCAATCATATTGTCTGATTCTGCTCTTGCTTTTTTCAACTTTGGAGTACAGTTTTTTTTTTTTACTAGAAATTTGAACCCTGTTGTTGAGTTAGCCATATCTTGATGATTGAAAGCATCATTTTTCTCTTATATTTGATGTGTATGACTTTTCTCTTAGTAAATAATCACCAAGTAGTTATTGTTGATTAGTTAATGATTGGACCTTCATGTACAAGAGACCCATCCAAAGATGGATTAGATATATAAGTGAAGCCACACAAAATATAGGTTTGTTATCGCCACAGCCATCTTTACAAATGTCAAACAATTTGAAGATAGATGTGGTGATGAAGGAATGGTAACAACCTGCAGAAAAAAATTCTTTGATGCCTTAATCAATCAACAATTATTGAAACCATCTGGGGAGATGTTACAGATCAATAAGACTTATGAGGAGGTTATGCGTGTAGAACTAAAATCAAGAGTGTGGATGAAAAGGGGGGTCATTGTAAGTTCACATATTATGCTAAATCAATGAAAGGAAATCCTAAGTCTTACATGAAAAAGGAAATTCACAGATGGTTATTGTCTTCCCTTAGGTATCATAACAAGAGTAATGACCAATGAGAAAAATCTTTGTGATGCAACCCATTTCTAGTGAGGGAATATCAGTTAGGAAATCTTTCACATTTAAGTTATGATTCTCGTAAAATTCCAATATGAGCTCTGCTATTGGTATTACCAAGTCATTGAGGAGCAAGTCTTTAAGCTGCAAACCTCTTTTCAACTCTATTGAAGATTAGAGGATCATGATATCACTTAATCATGCATAAATTATAGGTTTATATGTTCAATTTAAAAGCTTTTATGTACACCATATACTATGCAACATTCATAGACAGCACATCGTTCGAAACTCAGAGTAAATCTAAGCTTGCGTCTCTTGCCGTACTACTATTTGGAATATGAAGATTTACATATTTGTGCATTAGACTCTCTCCAGTATCAACCTCTTAATGTTATTTATATCATCATACTTGTATCTTTTAGTGGGACCTCTCTTATTATTCATGCTCATTTCCTCATTATTGTACTCGTCTGTAAGTGCAGGGGCGCTATTGTTTTTCGCTCTTCTTGGGTTATCGGGATGTTTCATAACTTGTTATGATCGACGAGTGCGCAATGATTTGGCTCAACCATGTCGAGAGTTATGTATTTGTTGCTGTCAACCAGGGTTAGCACCTATTTTTCTTATTTTGTAGTTTCTTGAATTATAATATTTGGTCATATTGTAAGTCAATTATGTGATTCATTTTGATATTCTGATATTATATATGCTTTTATGTGTATCTTGTCTGGAGCTTTAGTTTAAATACAACGTAAATGTTATATAACCAGATAATTTTCCCTTTTCTTTTCCTTTTGTTTCCGTTCCTGCCCGTCTTTCTTCCACGGTTCACTTTTAACTTTTTTAGCAGCTGTTCTTGTGTACATATGTTAATGTGATCTTATGGGATTCTTTCAGAATGTGTGCTGACTGCCATCTCCCTGGCACCCTCTGTATGTGGACTGACTGTACCACGTGCTTTGAAAGTTGTGCAAGTACAGCAGGAGAATGTGGCTGCTTAGGAGGGGCTGGCGAAGCGGGACTACCATTGTTGTTTATCGTAGGACTAATTGTTCTTGGGCTCTTCACTGTTATTGGCATATTTTACAGTGTTCTTGTGGCAACGATGGTTGGCCAGAGAATTTGGCAGCGTCACTATCATATACTTGCTAAACGAATGCTGACAAAAGTGAGTTCTTTTTCCTCTAGGCATAAGCAGCTCCTTTCCATTTGTTATCTTTGTGTTAATTCAAAGAATGATGATTGATATTTCTGAATCACATATCCATTTTGGTTTGCGACTTTGATCTCTTCTCTGCTCCAACCTCGTACCATAGTTTTTGAATTCTCATGCTACACAAAACCTTTTAATTA